CCAGAATGCGACTTCGCAGTGTGCACTGCGGAAAACCGGGCCCAACCGCCTCCGCCCCCCCCCCCCCCCCCCCCCCCCCCCCCCCCCCCCCCCCCCCGCTCAGTCCGAAAACCCCTTTGGCGGGGCCCATGGGACTTTTTTTGCCATGTCGCGCGCACCGGGTCCCCCCTAGCGGGAAAATTGACGTGTGGCCACCGTTCGATGCGCGGACCGACGTGTGGCCAACCTTTCGCGGCGTCAAACGGACCTTGCGAGGCACTCCGAAATGGAAGACCCGAAGGGGATCCGACCCACGCGCGCTTACAAATACGAGTGGCACCCGAGGCGTGAACGCCACTTTCTGCGTTTTTTGCTGGGGAGATGCTGTCGGACGGACGCCTTGCACCACCACTGTCATCAACACCATCGCCCCGCACAGCTGGAGCACCATAGGTAGCGAAGCGAACGGACAGCCGTTCTAAGCCCTGGTCGCTACCTTTTCTACGATGCATCTCCCTCCACCTCCCTAGTCGCTGCCCGCGTCATCTTCGACGTCACGCGTCGACATCCCGTCGACTCAACGACGACATCTTAATTCTGGATTAGCGCATCCGACGCTCCACGCATTACCATCGCCAACACAAAGCGCACGGCACATGGTCGCAGCATTCCTGTCTCGATCGACGTCGGGATCCGCACGCATCTCCACTCGACACTCGCACAAGGTGAGTGCGCACGAACCCGGGACGTGTGTGTTTCTGTGAGCGCTTGTGGGAGGCTTTTCTGCTGACACGTCTGTGCTGTTTGGACGAGTGTGTGTTTGCATGTGCGCGTGCGGTTGTGTTTGTGTTTGCTTGTGCGTGACGAGTGTGTGTTTGCATGTGCGCGTGCGGTTGTGTTTGTGTTTGCTTGTGCATGACGAGTGTGTGTTTGCATGTGCGTGTGCGGTTGATTGTGTGTTAGAGTGTTTTTTTTTTCGGGTTTGCGTATGTAGTGTCTCTAAGTGAGGGCCGTGTTTGTGTACGCGGCGTGTGTGCGCGTGTGTGTGCGTGTGTGTGTGTGTGTGTCTGTTCGTGTGCGTGTGTGTTGTTTCGCCGATTGAACGCGCGGAGGTTGTCGCCAAGGTGTGCGGCCATGGTTGAATGAATTGTTTCGCATCCCGAGGGTACTCCTGATGTATTCTGGCATTCAGCGACGTGCGTGCGTAATATCCGGCGATTGCGTACGCTCTAATGAAGAACTGTAATCTGTTGTCCATCTATCCATCTATTGTATCTCTGTCGCCGCGTGTTTCGATCAATCATACTTTGGGCAGATCGACGGCTACGACATTCAAACATCAAACAGGAACAATGGAGTGTGGTCAGTGGTCAGGATGTGATGAACTGAGGAATGCCGATAGCTCCGATCGAACGCTCTGTGGTCAGTCACGAAACATAAACACCCTGCGCTCGATCGGATGTTTCTCCATTCATCATTTTCATACACAACAAGAGCACACGAGATCCACACGTTTGGCCAAACGTGTGTTTGAGGTGCAACCGTGGCATCACCCTCTGCGCGATCGCCCAACCGGCAGGCGTACGACCGATCCAGCACGAGTATCTGATTAGTTGATTGATCGACTTTTCGGTTTGTGGTTGTCCAATCAGCTGATTGATCGGCCGCTCGCCGACCAGGGCACCGACATGCCAGCCGAGCGGTTCAATTTTCTCGCCCCAATTGCAGTGCATTCGACCTGCCTCCTCGTCCATTGGTTGTACGCAGCACGCAAGGCGATTGGTCCACCAGACGGTAGAAACCCGTGAAAAAGGTCGATCCCTATTCGGGAATGGACAAAAGACATTTCATGACAACGTTGTTGCACATCGAACGTTGCTGGCCATCGAACCTTGTTTGGCATCGAACCTGGCGCCCCATCAAACCTCGGCGGGCATCGAAATGTTGGCGGACATCGAACGCCACTGGACGGCAAACCTCGTCGGTCATCGAAACTTGTTGGTCATCCAACGACGAACGTTTTGCAGCCACCACACGACAGCGGGGGACCTGTG